TACGATTCAGAAAATAGCATCATTATCCGTTCAATTAGACCATGCTATGGTGCAAATTAATAACCTTTCCCAAAACTTACAAGTCACGCCATTGAGCGCATGCAAATCTTCTCCAAGTAATACAGCTTTTTACATCAAGCCAATTGAAACTGTTCAACAATTGGATGAATTAGAACTGGAAGACGAGGATGCAGAGGACCATGAAGATCCTAACTATAGCGATCCACCACTAGTTCAAGATTTTCCTGGCCCATCAAGTCAAAGTATTGCTTCATTATCCACGCAAGAAGGTCATTCACCGATCAAGCACAACAGACCCTGCTATAACTGAACTCGACACACCATATAAATGTTTCTTGCACTACTTCACACCCCAGTTTCTTCAAAAAATTGTTGATGAAACCAACCTATATGCAGTACAAAAAAACCCTTCAATATCTTTTACTATTACTGTTGGGGAGTTAAAAAAATTCATAGGAATTCTTTTATTTATGTCAGTGGAGAATATTCCAAGTGTACGATCATTCTGGCATTCCAAGTTTGGGTACGAACCTGTAAAGAGCGTAATGCCGGTAAATCGGTTTGAGATGATTAGGAGCTACTTACATTTCAACGATAATAATAAACATCTTCCGCAAGACCAATCTGGTCACGATCGCCTTCATAAGATTCGGCCTGTAATACAACAGCTAAATACGACATTTTCATCAGTTGCCATTGACAAACGACTTTCGATAGATGAGCAGATGTGTTCAACTAAAATTGCACATTTCCTAAAGCAATATTTACCTAAGAAGCCTCACAAGTGGGGTTATAAGCTATACGTTCTCTGTTGTCTTATGGGATATGCTTACAGATTTGAGGTCTATTCTGGACAAGAAGAAAAAAAAGACAAACCAGCCGATGAGCCTGATCTTGGAATAACAAATAACGTCGTTATACGTTTGGCGAGAGTTATACCAAGGAATAACAATCATATTGTGTTCTTCGATAATTTTTATACGTCCCTGCCCTTAGTAAAGAACCCTAGATCACTAAACATTAGTCTCACAGGCTACACGACTCTGACGCATTCGCTGTTTATGTATGTTCCCGTTACCGCACCCCCTCAGCCGCTCAGTACCTTCCTAATTCGGCCAATCAGTGACCCGTGAACTCGCATTGCGTACGCACGCTTCCTACTTCCAGAGATATTACGCAATAGTAGTCTCTCAGGCTAATGTTTAGTAATTGCGCCACAAAAGTGAAGAAAGGTAAATTATGAAATATTTCTTTTTATTTACGATTTTATCTATAATAACTAATTACTGATTAATGTAAATGAATAATAAATATGTGTGATACTACGAGCAATATTTATTTTATGAACTTATTATCATTTTTTATTTTTTTATGAGATTTTGAACATTTTGTTTTAGCAGTATTTTCTGTTACAGATGGATTTGATACGAGATCAAGATAAAATATTGCAGATTTTGAACGAGTCAGATAATGACGATGACGATTCACCATTTTTTGGACCATCTGGTGTGCCTTCGGACTCCGAACCTGATGACAACTTAGAGGAGGACTTAGTCGAGGATACCGACGAAATTGAAGATGATTCGTCGAGTTCTTCTGATGAAGATCTAAATGTTTCCCGGAGAAGCCGTAACAGAAACAGAATCCTAGATTCTGATGATGATTCTTTGGAGTGTTTGCAGCCTTGTCCACCCATAGCTTCTCACCAGGATCTGGTAATACAACCTGAGAGACCATACATTTATGGAAAAAACAAACATAAGTGGGCAACTACTCCACGCTCTTCAAACACTCGTGCATCGGCTCGAAACATTATTCATTTTGTACCCGGACCTAACAGTGATGCAAGAGATTTGGTAGAACCACTTCCAATATTTCATTTGTATTTATCTGATGAAATGATTGACCAACTTGTTATTTACACAAATGCAGAGATTGAAATAAAAAGGTGAAGTACAAGGAACTCACTCATACTATTTCTCCAACTTCAGCTATTGAACTAAAAGCTTTACTGGGTCTTCTTATGCAATCAGCTGCTATAAAAAGTAATCATTTACCCACGAGAATATTGTTTGATGACAGAAGGAGTGGTAACATTTTCAAAGCCTGCATGAGCGCTGAGAGATTTGATTTCTTGCTTAAATGCCTTCGATTTGATGACAAAGCTACCAGACAAGACAGAAGAGCATCCGATAAATTTGCACCTATAAGAGAATTCTGGGAGAAATTCATTGGTCATTGCAAACAATGGTACAAGCCAAGTTCCTATCTGACAATCGATGAGCAATTAGTTGGGTTCAGAGGGCGCTGCCCATTTCGAATTTATATACCCAATAAGCCTAACAAGTACGGCATAAAAATTGTAATGGTTGCAGATTCTAATTCAAAGTACGTATACAATGCTACGCCTTATTTGGGTAAAGGAACCAATTGCGATAATATGCCTCTTGCCACACATTTTGTGAAACAACTCTGTGAGCCTGTCTATGGGACAAACAGAAATATTACGATGGACAACTGGTTCACTTCAGTGCCACTTGCTTCAGAATTACTTCAGGACCCGTATAAACTCACACTTGTTGGGACAATACGTAGTAATAAGCGAGAGATTCCACCTGAGATGAAAAACAAAAAATCAAGAAAGATTCATACTTCGATGTTTGCATTTGATGGTGAGAAGACTCTGGTCTCGTATAAACCAAAATCTAACAAGACAGTATTTCTTCTTTCGACAGTACACAGTCAGCCAGACATTAACTCCACTTCGAAAAAGCCTGAAATTATACATTTTTATAATAGTACCAAAGGTGCTGTCGACACTGTCGACCAAATGTGCTCAGCTATATGTGTCAATCGCAAAACCAATAGATGGCCTCAATGCGTGTTTTATAATGTCTTGAACCTGTGCCTAATTAATTCATATGTCATCTATGTGTCGAACATGGTCAGAGAACGGCAAAAACCAATGAGACGTAGGAGTTTCGTCAAAAGTTTAGCCGATAAGCTCATAGAGCCATGGTTACGAGAGCGGTATAACACTGTCACTTTGAGGAGGGATATAAAAGCTAGTATTAAAGATATTTTAAAAATTGAAGATGCTACTCCTAGTACCTCTCAAGCGCAACAAAATAAGCGTAAAATATGTTCTTTTTGTCCTTACAAAAAACACAGGATGACTAAATATGTTTGCAGCCGCTGCAAGACGGCGATTTGCGGGGAACATACGATTCCAGTGTGTGCCGACTGCCAAGAATAATTTTTTTAACCTTTTGTTTTATTATGTGGTAATTTAAAAGACATTCCATATTTTAAGTAGACTTTTTCTAAATAAATACTCTAGTTTTGATAAATATTGCGGTTTTATTTTGTTAGTTTGTAGGACTAATGTTTAGTGACAGAGTTTGAAAAAAAAAAGTTTAGTGATCTAGGGTTAAACAAACAGGGTATACAATGTGTCGGAACTATTCAGCAAAACAGGCTGCCGAACTGTCGGCTCCCTGACAAAAAGGAACTAATGAAAACTTCTGTTCCGAGAGGTACATATGAAGAACGCGTTTCCCATTCAGAAGGAGTAGACTTTTCGGCCACTGCATGGAAAGATAATAAAGTCGTCACTCTTTTATCGACTTACGTTGGTGCCGAGCCTGTTGGAAAAGTATCAAGATACGATAAGAAGGCTAAACAAAAAATTGACATCCCTTGTCCCAAAATTGTACAAGAGTACAATATGCATATGGGCGGGGTCGATCTAATGGATAGCTTTTTAGGACGCTATCGAATTCGAGTAAAGAGCCGGAAATGGTATTTACGCTTGTTTTATCACCTTCTGGACCTCACAGTAATCAACTCATGGGTGCTTATGAAACAAAATCTAATTGCTAAAGGTGTCTCAAAAAAGCAACTGCCTAATCTTGGGGAGTTTCGTAATTGTTTGGCTGACACACTGTGTAATATAGGTAAATCTAGTGGTAGTAAAAGAGGACGTCCTAGTACTTCCTCTCTAGAACGCGAGCTTCATATAAAAAAACAGAAAGGTCCGCAACATCCACTCCCGTCAAAAGATGTGCGCGTAGATGGATTCGAACATTTGCCTGTATTTGCCAACCGATTACGGTGCAAGATGCCCAATTTTAAGGGCAACACACAATGGTCGTGTACCAAATGTTATGTACCGTTGTGTCTAAATCAGAGAAACAACTGTTTCAAAGATTTTCATACACTGCAATAAGACTAATTCGTAAATAATCGTATCATATAATAATACTTAGTTAACATTATTAAAAGTAACTGTAATGCATACTGATGCAGATCTACATCAGTAAGTTTTTTGTATAAAAATATACTTTTTATAAAAAAAATTTTTTTCTTTATTTTTCCCATAATCTATGTTTAATTTTCTACCTGTTTCAATTTATGGTATTTAAAAAGGAAAAAACATGCATTTAAGGGTTAAAACCAGTTCTCGTTACCCACTCGGCGAGGAAACATTGATTTACGCAAGCTCCGTAAACAAAAATTCGAAAAAGCGGTGAAAAGTGTTTTAATGTAGCAAAATAATATATCAAACGACGCGGGAAAATACAGTGAATACAGTGGTGTTAAAAGACTTACAATTAATACTATTTGTAATATAAATTAACAACAAACGCCTGAAATCCTCACCTACTGCTAGTGATTGCACTGTAGTGCGTCAAAACAAGCCGTAAAATATTATTATTTTATAGTTAAGTGTCGTGTTAAACGTAAGTGACACTCACAGTGCATAATTGAAAGTAAGACTGTGATTTAGAATAAATGACGCCCCTTCATCCTTGAGCTTCTGTTGGTGTCATCACGCTGCGTATATCTACCCTCAAGTGGAAGAAAAAATAAAAATAGTGAGATATAGAAAACTAGGCAACGGAAAAAGTGTAAATACGTATAATAATAATTTGAGGATAACACTTATACAATAAACATTTTAAAATTGTTTTTGCAACATGAGTGCTACCGGAATGTCAGAAAATATGGTGAGGCTATTCCAGAAGATGAAATCTGAACTCGACCAACAAACCGCAACTATTAAAAAGAACGTAACCGAAAATATCATGCGCTCCACAGATGAAAAATTGCAACCAATTTTGGAAGAAAATAAATGCCTAAAAACTGAGATACAAAAATTTAACGAAAGGTGAGACATTTAGAATATAAAAATAAGAAAAATAATTTGATCCTACACGGTATTACAGAAACAGAAAAAAATCACCAAGAATTACTGAACACAATAATAGAAACCATGAATAATCTAGATATTAACATCGATAACTACGAAATAAATAACTACTATAGACTGGGAAGGAAACAAGATGAGGAAGAAGTAAGACCGATACTTATAACTTTTACGTCTTTCCAAAAAAAGATAACAATATTGAAAAATAAGATGAAAATGCCTGAACAAACGTATATAACTGAAGATTTTTCGAAAGAAACGATTGAATTACGTAAAAACCTGCAAGAAAAACTAAAACAAGAAAAACAAAACGGAAAGACGCATTCATTCGAAACAATAAAATTGTAATAAGAGAAACTTCAGATACAGAAAAAAGAAAGAGAGAGACCTCGACGTCACCTGACAACATACACTTCGGTGGCTCGAAATCATTGCTCCTCCTAAACTGCACAAAACGAACGCATTTGAGTATATGAGGGCAAGATCCTCATCTTTAACTGAAAAACCATCTCAGAAATATAAATCATCGAAATTCGCAGACAACGGAGGAGTGTCATATCAAAGTGACTTTTTTCCACTTTTGAAAATAAATTAGCTAATGATGGGAATCGATTTTCAGCATACGATTACACCACTATACCAAATTGTGTATTACAAAAACGCTTAATTCGTCTCTAAATTTGACTTTCAATTCACGTATCTAAAACAATTTCGCTTATTTCCACGTGATTTGCTAACAGTATTCAAGACACAAATATTCTTTTACAAACCGACTTATTTCCAATACATAATTCGAGTCTAGTCGCTTGTCTATAGCAAACAGATTTATTTCCATTCCACACATTTCATAGATTAATAAAAGCGGCGGAAAAGGCACAGACTAATCTAAAATTTTTTGTCTATGCTAAAAAAGCCTATGAGCCAAGACCAAAGAACAAAAAAAAAAATTTCTGTTGAATTGAAGTTGAGTAAACGTGCAGAATTTTGTTGAAAGTTTTAAATAAGTTACAAAACTCATAGGCTTATTTTGGGAATAACAATGGCATAAAATCGTGTAGAAGATAACAATTCGGGTTGGCGTAAAGATAGAACGAGAAAAAACCCACGGAAGAAAAAAGAGTTACTAGTTAAAGAGGTAGAGAACTATTTAAAAAGATTAATATTATGACAGTACCTTGCCAATTCATTTATGAAAATATTATGTATGTAAGAAAGAATCTACATCTTTTTAGTAAAATAAATGAAAGACATAATTTTAGTACTAGAAATAAAGATAAAATAGCTCAACCATCTTTCAGATTAGCCAAAGTTCAAAATTCATTTATGGGGTACTGTGTAAAATGTTACAATAAAATACCTTGTGACATTTTAAAACTAAATGAACGAAAATTTAAATGTTTTATTAAAAGTACACTTTGTAAACAAGCATATTACAAATTAGATGATTATATTCAAGATAAGAATGCTTGGAAACATGCTGGTCCTGCTCCATAGGACAATCCTATGATTGGCTCTATAGCCTGGACAAAATCAAATTGGTTGCTGATTTTTTGCTTTAACATATTTTTGTTATTATTATTATTATTTTTTTTAATTTATATAATGCTACAAATGTAATTATTTTTTTTTGTATCTCACACACTGTTTTGTTTTTTTAATATTTTTATTACTCTTTAATGTTAATATTCTAAGGTTTCGATATTTGTAAATATGTGAGGAACATGTATACTAACTTTTTTTAGTATAGTAGTTTATTCTAAGAGTACATTGTCTTCACATATAATTATTTAACAAATGTAACAAAATATTGTAAACCTATTTTAAAAGAGTAAGTGTGGAGTTTCTTGCCCATTCTTCTCCACACGAAACTACCTTTTGGAAGGGGCAACTAGAATAATCTTTATATATTTTTTTTGACGTTCAAAAGTGCCATTTTAGATGGTCTAATTGAAATAAACGATTTGACTTTGACTTTGAGTAAGTTGTGCAAAGATTTTGTTTCTTGTTATTCTAATAGAATTCGGTGCCTAAATATAAAGGTAAATGATATTGCTATTGCTAAGCTGATATTTTCCTACCACTTTCTTTGTTGCAGTAATTATTCGGATTCAGATCCACTTTGCTTGGAGTTCCGCAAACCGTGCCGACACAGTGCAAATTCGAAGAGCAAGTTCAAATGTAGTGACATTTCAATGGCATTGGTTATAAAGAATCGGGAATTGCTAAACAAGCATACTTCAAAGTCGAATCAAGGCAGATATATGAGTAGATTCATGGCACCTTTTGAACCACAACGGAGAAATAAAATTCCAAGTCAGGGTATTGCCAAAAAACGCAAGTTGAGTTGCAGCTATTTCATATTATCCAAAAAGAAGAAGAACAAGTTAATATGCAAAAAATTATTCATGGCTGTATTTGGGATAAAGGATAAAAGATTAACTTCAATTAACAACACCTGCTTTAAAGGAGGAATCCCGAAGGAAAGTGTGTGGTGGTGGTGGAAGGAAGTGGTGATCACGGATCTCATAAAACTGCTGCTAAGAAGGAAGCATTGAGACAATTTCTAAATTAATTACCAGCACGTGAGAGCCATTATAATCGTGAAAAGTCCAAACGAATATATTTAAATTCTGAATTAAATGTGAGAAAGTTACTAAAACTTTATAATGAATCAGTCGCTGAGCACCTACAAGTAAAACGGGGATTGTTTTATACAATTTGGAACAAAGAATATAACATAGGCTTTTCTACACCATCATCAGACGTCTGCAATGCATGCACTTTATGGGGAAATAGGATCAAAATAGAAAAGGACCAACAGAAGAAGCAAGAATTAATGGTACAGAAGAGAGTCCACAATCTACGTGCAAAAGCATTTTATGATTTTATTAGGGAAAAGCCCCAGAACACCAAGTCGTTGTCGTGTTTTGATATGCCACAGGTTCAAGCGTTGCCTAAAACGCCCATTCAAGATTCGTTTTATGCCCGTCAGGTGAGCCTTTATAATTTATGCATAGTGCCACTAGATTCTTAAGATCCTAAGTTTTATATGTGGGATGAAACACAGTCAGGCAGAGGATCGACAGAGATAAGCTCAGCGCTCTATGATTATTTGACCAAAATGAACATTGCCAGCGATATCCACACCATAAGACTGTTCTGTGATGGATGTGGAGGACAAAATAAGAACAGCATTGTCCTCCATACTTTGATGCAATGGCTTTACGCAAAGTCACCACAAAATATTAGGGAAATAAAACTGTATTTTCCAGTCCGTGGGCACAGTTTTCTGCCTGCGGACAGGGTCTTTGGGAGACTTGAAAAACAGTTAAGAAAAGTTCCTGTTATCACAACCCATGAAGGTTATTATGAAATATATAAAAACCATGGTGATCTTAGACTTCTAAACAGAGATTGGAAAATTTTCAATGTCAAAGAACTGGATAAGCATTTGATAAAGATTGAACGAATACAAAGTTTAAAAAGAATTTTCATAAAAAAAATATGTGGAATAAACCAAAATGTCAAAGGCTGTGCTGTATTGGGTTTTTTGAACTACAGATTTGGAGAAGAAAAACAAAGTGAAACTCTTTTGAAAAAGGGGAAGAGAATTCCTACAGAGCTCTCTGTGATGGAAGCGACTACAAAACCCTTAAATGCTAATAAAAAAAATTATGTTCTTGCATTACTAGTAAAGCAATTTGGAGAAACATGGGAGGAAATAGATGAGTTAAAGTGGTTCAACAATATATTGCATAATGACAGGGTAGTTGCCCGAGAAGATAATGTGACGACACATTGCTAGCAGGAAGATTGTAATTGTTTAGATCCAGATGTAGGTGAAGTACGTATTTAATAGGTTATGTGTTGTGAGTCAATAAAAAATTCCTTATTCTTAACAATTAATTTGTTTTTATTTCCATTAAAATTTATATCACGTCATATTATAATGTCTGTTTCTCAGAGCCAAAACAAAAAGGCTTTATTCCTTAGAGTACCTAACAAAGTGACTTATTTCCATTAGGGTACCTAACAAAGAGGTTTATTTCCTGTAGTCCTGAACAAAGTGACTTATATCCAAATAATTGAGTAAGGTTTTACTATTATACAAATTTTTTAGAATTAATGTGCTAGTGTCAGAATTACTTAAATATGATCTTCTTTCATGGTGACATAAAAAAAAATTTTAAAACACAAATTAATAACTTTTTTGGCATTTATTTAAAAATCTGATAAGGTGGAAATAAGTACTTTTGAAACGACTCTCCTCATTACGGTAACGAGATTAAGATTAAGATAATAAATAAATAATTCAAGAAAAACTTTAAAGAAAAACAACAAAAGCCCCAATACGGCTGGTGACCGAGGGGTTATCGACCAAACCCCTAAGATCTCTTAGTAACGGAAAAACTAGGAAACAACAACTATACGGAAAAAGAGACGACACATAGCAACACTCAATACAAGATCTTTAAAATCGCAAGAAAAGTTAACAGAACTAGAACAAGCGTTACATAAAATTAATTGCGATATCCTTGGAATAAGTGATGTACGGAGATCGGAGCAGAAAATTGAAGAACATGAACCAGGATTATCGGCGTAGGTTTCCTAGTTAAACAATATTTAAAAAAATATATCATCGAATTTAAAGGAGTTTCAGACAATATAGCTATTTTAAACATCCTACTTCCTGGTCACAAAGACCCGACCTCGATAGTCCAAGTACAGTCAAACCTGGGTAAGTGAGAACTGGATAAGTGAGAAAACTCTATAAGTGAGAGTAATAGCCGGGACCCGACATTTTAAGCTCCCAAAACCTCTATTAGCGAGAAACAGAAACCTCTGTAAGAGAGAGTCGTTTTACCCTCGTGGACCTCCGTAAGTGAGACTGCTACTTATCTATAGCTCTATAAGCGACAGTTGAGCTATATTTATTTAGGAGGAACTTTACAATAAGAATACATAAATATATTCGACAAAATTTAAAGAGAGAAACATATTCAAAATACAAAAACAGAAACCCAAACAGTGTATCAGACAGTGCAAGGTCAGGAAAAGGTACAGATGACATATACAAGCCAAAAGTATTTTGGTTTGATCAGATGAACAGTTTTATTCGTCCGTTTGTTCAACAGCGACCCACACAATCGAATCTGGTAAATACCTTTTTTATAACAATATATATCGTTTATTTATGAAAAATAATTTAAAATAATTTAAAAACGACATACGAGTATTAATTTTAATTTTAATTAGTATGAATGCGTTGTTTTTAGTAACTATTTAATATTTATAATATCTTATCTTATCTTCTATGAGTATTGTATAAAAATCATTAAAAAAAAATCTTTAACGTAAATATATTTATTATCCACACGATTGTAAACAAAAATAAATGTACAATATGTATAGATTTATTATTAGTTATTACGGTTCATTTGACACATCAATTATTTGGTTTTGCCAGGGAACAGCTCCTTCGTTATTAAAATAATCACGATATTTATTCCGTATTTGTTGTGCCTCCATATTAGAATGTCTGTGGATATTTTGAAAAATTCCTCCATCTGATCCTCTTCCTTTCGCTCCAACATCAACATATAAAAAAACAATAATCGGAATCCACCAAGGCCATTAACACAATACTATAACTGTTTTTATAATTAAAATAATCTGAACCACTTCCGGGAGGAGCTCGTATGACAACATGCTTACCATCTAGAGCCCCTACACAACCAGGAAAATTCCATCGCGTTCTAAAACCATATTCAATGTTTTTCCACTCATCTGATGTTGCAGGGACCTGAAACATTATATTATTAAAATATGAATAAGCTAATAATATTAACACATTATTATTTATATTATAGATACTTCCTACAGAAAATTCCTCAGATGCCTCAATAGAAAATAGTCTACAATCAGAACCTAACTTTGAGTGCAGTACTAGCCAAAACTCTGAAGACGTGACACAGATAGCATCGAAAATTGATACACCTGCGATAATCAAAAGAAAGATTGAACCACAACTATCAACTTCAAAAAGTAAAAAATCTATTGGTGATCATGAAATAGGATTTATGACAAGTGCTATTGACAAATTGAATGCAATTTCAAATCGCGCATCACAAGTCGCTACAAATAACGATGATAGTTATGATCATTTTGGGAAATATATCGCATCAATGTTAAGAAGTATAGGACCACCAACAGCAATACGATTACAACAAAACTTCATGAATGAAATTACAAATGCTATGTGCCCACCAGAATATGTTACTGATAATTCAACGGCTGGAAGATCAAGTGGAAGACAATCAAATTTAAGTACTTTTTCGGCTAGTAATGATGACGACTACATGACATTATTTACAGATTTATAATTAAACAAATTTTATAATTATAATTATTGTTATAATTAAACAAATAAAAGTTCACTATTACTAATAATTGTATTAATTTTTAAATTTTAAATTTTAAGGTACTTGTATGAATTCTGCTAGTTCATTGTATATTGCTTCACAGGTTTCTGGAATAAATTTACTTATTGTGTTTTTTGGAACACGGCTTTTGAAGGAATCACCTGTAGCTAAATACAAAGTCACCTCTAATTTTGTTTTTGCACTTATTGCTTGTCTCATGTTAGTGTCAGATTTTGAAATAATATTTGTAACACGCAATAAGAGGTATTCAAACTGAAATTCAGTCATTCGCAATAGGTTTCTAAAATCTTCTGGAAAATTGCTTTTTAATTCCATACTAACCAAGTCCGACGCTCCTAACATATTTCTTCGCTGTATCCATTCTCTAACCCAAAAACGTATTTTTTTTCGTTTTCTTGTGTCCTGTAAGCGCTCAATCTTTTTTGCTATGATAGTAGCAAAAAACGAACTTAAAACAGCACAACTTTCAACAACCAGATCATTCATGATCGATGTTTTGATAATGACTAAGTCGAAACACGAAGCGTGAACGGCACGAAATCCCCCAACCATGTGAACGTTTCATCAATTCACACTTTCGTGAGTGTCACGAACGAAAGTTGACTAGCGTAGTTGACTGTCGTGATTAACGCTTCGTGGGAACGCCCCTTTATGGACGACCCACGACCGTCATTGAGATTGCGCGCAGCTCCTCTTAATTTGAACAAATCTACGGTTCATCGCATTATTTCGAACGATTTACATTTTCACCCCTATAAAATTGTTATTGTTCAAGAAATGAAGCCTGATGATCCTGATAAACGAGTCGAATTCTGCAGGACAATGAAAAACCGTTTTAGGAGTTTCAATAACATCTGGTTCTCCGACGAATCGAATTTTCACATCAACGGTCATGTGTATAAGCAAAATTGCAGATACTGGGCTTCCTGCATCAGAAGCCCTTGCAATCGCCAAAAGTTGTTGTTTGGGCTGCTATATCAAGTCTAATTAGGAATTATCGGTCCTTATTTTTTTGAGGATGACCGAGGTCGAACTCAGACCGTTAATTTTGACCGATATCGCCATATGATCTGGACATTTTTGGCTACAGAAATGCAAAACCAGAAGGGCTACAACCGCAACACATAAATTGGCCAACGAGGAGCCCTGATTTAACGCCTGCTGATTTCTTCCTATGGGGCTACCAAAAAAGCAAAGTTTACAATCCATTGCCACCCAACCTGAATGTTTTGAAGCAAAGAATCACTGAAGAAATCAACTCTATTCCAAGAGCGATGCTCCAGCGAGTTATTGAAAAATTTAGCTCCAGGTTAAATAAATGTGAACAAATGAATGGTGCGCATTTGCAAACGGTTGTTTTTCATAAATAAACTTCAAGAATTGCTCTTTAAATTAACATTAAATAAAACGAGATTTAATTGATATTTTGTTTTTTATTTAACATCTAAAAACCATAAACATTCTGAGACACCCTTTACAATGTAGTTCAAGTTCTAGTCGATGTGCTTCTTACTCACTTTTGATATCTACTACAATTATGCCCGTTTATTTTCAGCTGCACCCTGTGGGTAAAATACCTTTTTCCCTCGGATGAACAGCACACTTCAATAGCTTTTCAAAAAAAGCTTTATGCTGAGCACAGGTGCTGTGCCAAATTCACTTCCACGAAGGTGATTTTACAGATGGCGCTAAAAAATCATTGCTAAGAACTGCAGTTCCGCATGAGGTAAGTTGTGAACTTTACTCACCATTGTATTTAATTTAACAAAAATTTGTTATAATTTAAACATAGTGAGTAATAGTTTGAAGTATGTAGGCCTACCTACATAAACCTAAAAACATTACGATAGTAAATGAGGACTGTGACTTGATTTATTCTTGTAATTACAGATTGGACTTGTATTCATTCCTGCGCTTACATTGCCCGATAATCTGCAGCCAGACCAGGGTCACATACCTTAAGAACCTCAAGCAGAGTAATCAAAAAGAATCCCTTTGAGGGAGATTGGGAATTTCTAATCAACAACGGATGTTCTTGAATCTGAGAAAATTGACAGAGAAAGCAAGACTTATAAAAAATGCTTGAAATTTATGCAGTGTTTGCCAACTGCGGAATCGGATAAAGAACATGAACCTCAAACTGCAATTAAATGCTCTCACAGAAAGCAACTCCTTACGAAAACTTTCAGAGAAAATCTCACCGACATTCGGTCTTTTGCTCCAAGGGCAATTAAGAAATTATAATAAAAAAAACCACTGGAAGGAGATGGACAAAGGAGGAAAAAATTGTAGCCTTGAGGCTATTGAAAAGGTCACCACCTTGTTACCGCTTGTTGAGGAGATTATTTTATTTACCATCTCCAGGCACCCTAAAGGCTTTGCTGAACAGAGTGCCTTTTGCTGTAGGTATTACCCAGCCAATACTGGAAGTACTCCAACAATTTTTAAAAACACAGCAGCCATCGGACAATAATTATATTCTAAAGTTCGATGAAATATCATGAAAGAAACATTTTGATTATAACCCTAAGGAAGATGTCATTGATGGATACCAAGATCATGGGTACAAAAAAGGTCCCCCAATGTGGCATCCTATGCCCTAGTTTTTATGGTTGCTCGCATAAAGAAAACAGTAAAACAACCGATCGCACATTTCTTCTCAAGTGGCTTATCAACAGCGGACAAGGCTTGCCACTTGCAAGAGGTATTAACTTATAAAAAAAAAATTTTTCTAACATTATTACCCTTGCCCTTTATAGAGAAAGATATCCTAATGCGCGTCATCCAGATTAACGTGTATTCGTGAGAGTCCACAGATGTTATTCGGAAGGCAGAATACCTGGCAGTGGCATTGGTGGTACGAGCTCCGGAAGACTAGCGAGTATTAATACTCAAGACATTGTGCTTGACGAAATTGAGCAAGACCCGTCGACCTCTGTAAGAACAATATCACGGCGTACTGGAATCCCGAAAACGACCGTGCACCGTGTATTGAAAATAAATAAATATCATCCTTACCACATTAGACGCGTCCAAGCTCTGCAACCGAGAGATTACAATGCAAGATTGATTTTTTTTCGACAAATGCTTGCAAAAATAGAAGATCCACAATTCTTTGGAAAAATTCTATGGAGCGACGTATCAACTTTAAAAAAAGACGGATACTTTAATATGCATAATCTGCACAGCTGGCAACTCTCGAATCCAAATTTAATGCGAGAAGAGAGGTCGCAATACCAGTTCAAAGTAAATTATTGGACTGGTATATTAAACGGGATCATTATTGGTCCTTTCGAACTGCCGGGAAATTTATCTTTTCATAGTAATTTAAATTTTTGCAAAATGATCTCCCGAATTTAATGGAAGAAGTGCCTGAGGAGGTTAGGGAATCCCATTGGCTACAGAATGATGGCTGCCCTGCACATTATGGTACAAACGTCCGTGCTTATTTAAATGCCACGTATCCAAATAAATGGATTGGTCGTTTGGGTCCCATTTTGTGGCCTCCTCGATCCTCGGATTTAAACCCACTGGATCTTTTTTACTGGGGATGTCTAAAGGAAGAAGTGTACTCAAAAAAAAATTCCAATTTGGAGGAATTACGCAGCCGTGTTCAAGAGGGCGTTTCAAAAATAAATGAACGACGCTACGCACGTTATCTTAGTAGAGCCTTTATAAGAAGATGTAGAGCGTGTATTAGAGTCGGTGGCAGACAATTTGAACACCAGTTGTGAATAAAGCTCGATTTATGAACACCCGATTTTTTTATCTATAATATAAAATGAATCGCAAAATGTGTTGGTAAGCGCATAACTCAACAACGCCTGGACCAATTTGGCCAAATCTTTTTTTTAAATGTTCGTTGAAGTTCAAGGATGGTTTTTATATTTGATATGCCTCTGCCTAATATTGATGAGACGAAGCAATTTAGGAAGAAGAACCAGAAATGCTACAAACCAAGCTAATTACCGATCTAATCGTACTGCACAAGAACGTGACGACGGAAATGAACGTGAAAGAATTCGGATATCACAAACGCGTGAAGCGCGAGCGCGACATTCAACTAATAATCGCGAAAGTTTGAATCGAGCTGCTTTCAGTTACGATGTGTCAATTGACTACAGTAACTACCAATGTGTTGTTATTGGTTCTATGAACTCGGTTTGCTCACACTGTAAGGCATTAAAATACAAAAACGAAGCCAATGGATTGTGTTGCGCAAATGGTAAAGTGAAATTGATACCATTGGATCCACCACCAGAACCATTGTACTCATTGGTTTCTGGAATAGGAACAGATTCTATACACTTTTTGACACATATCCAACAATATAACAATTGCTTTCAAATGACTTCATTTGGGGCAAGAAATGTAGTTCGGGAAAATTTTATGCCAACTTTCAAAGTATGTACTCGTATTATAGCAGTTACTCATAATTATTTTAGCGAACAAAATTTTCTGTCACCAAAGTTAAGATGTGTCACTAATCTTCAATTTCTTAATCACTTATATATCACTTAGTCATCATATTATATGGTGATTCAGTTTCAGTGACACTTTTATTATATTTTATATTTGATAGATATTAGTTAAAACTAAATATATACTTTTTAAGATCAAATATTATTTAAGTTTGATCACTGACAATCCATTAATTTATACCACACCATAATATTTTTTTTTTTATTTACAGATACAAGGGCAAATATATCACAGAGCAGGTTCACTGTTACCAGTGTCAGATAGCGACAACAAATTCCTGCAAATTTATTTTATGGGCAATTCACCACAAGAAATTGATCTGCGTTGTGCACATAACAATTTAGTAAAGAGGTCTATTGTAGAACAATTACAAACTTTATTTCATCAACACAATCAATTGATTATATTGTTTAAAACTGCCCTGGATCTGATACCATCCGATAATCACAAAATTGTAATCAGAGCTGATAAAACACCTGCAGGTGTTGACCTGCAACATACAAGACGTTTTAATGCACCAAATATTGATGAAGTTGCTATCGTTGTAGTTGGAGAAAACTTGGAATCCCGTGATATTGTTTTACATCGTCGGAATGATCAATTACAACGTATAAAGGAAACACACCGCTCATATGATGCACTGCAATATCCCATTATATTTTGGCAAGGTGAAGATGGCTACGATTTCTCAATAAAAATGATAAATCCCATTACAGGTAACTAAAATATTAGTTTAGCTATGGCGATAATATCTCAGTCATTATATTATGTATTTTAATTTTATATTTGAATGTTATTAAAACAAAATCTATTTACAGGTTCTGAAACCTACAAAAAAGTCAGTTCAATGAACTATTATTCATACCGCCTAATGATTCGGGAAAATGAAGATAATCACATATTGAAATGTCGGCGATTATATCACAAATATGTTGTTGACATATGTATGTTAAAATTGAAACGGAGAGATTAACATTCATCAGGTTGAATCAAACCAAACTCCGATCTGAAGAGTATATTCACCTTCGAGATGCGATTAATACTGATGGAAATGCACAGAATGTCGGTCGGATGACTATTCTTCCAGCAACATACATCGGAAGCCCTCGGCATATGCACGAATATGCTCAAGATGCCATGTCGTATGTTCGTCATAAGAGGGTAATGCTACCCTGTATTGTAAATCTTAATTGTATTTTATTGTATTGTTTATTGTTTTTAGTCTAAGTTTGGCCATTGTGCTGTTATTAAATAAATAAATAAATAAATAAATAAATGATGGTACAGCAGATTTGTTCATCACATTTACATGCAATCCGCAATGGATAGAAATCAAGCAGGAGTTATTCCCTGGGCAATCACCCATTGATCGTCATGATATTACAGCCAGAGTCTTTAGACAAAAGTTGAAATCTTTAATGGATTTCATCGTAAAACATAATGTGTTTGGTGAGACACGCTGCTGGATGTATTCTGTGGAGTGGCAGAAACGAGGATTGCCACATGCACACATTTTGATTTGGTTGGTTGAAAAGATAAGGCCAAATGAAGTTGATGCAGTGATATCAGCTGAAATCCCTAATGTACAAGTAGATCCTGGATTGCATGAGGTAGTCATCAAAAACATGATACATGGTCCATGTGGAACTCTTAATCAAAATTCACCGTGTATGATGGATGGTAAATGTTCAAAACGATATCCACGGACATTAATATCGGAAACAATTACTGGTAATGACGGTTATCCATTGTATCGTCGCAGATCGACAGCAGACAATGGAAAATCAACAATTGTCAAATTAAATCAACAAGATATTGAAATAGATAATCGTTGGATTGTTCCATATTCACCCATTTTTCAACGTTGAATCTTGCCATTCAGTGAAATCTATTAAATACATTTGCAAATATGTAACCAAAGGGAGTGATATGGCTGTGATTGGAATTGGTGCAGAGAATTCCAATGATGAAGTTACCCAATACCAAATGGGCCGCTATGTCAGTAGTAATGAAGCAGTTTGGCGAATATTTTCTTTTCCTATTCATGAGAGACACCCTTCTGTTGTTCACTTAGCTGTGCATTTAGAAAATGGACAAAGAGTGTATTTTACAGCACAGAACGCAGTACAAAGAGCTGCTCAGCCACCATCTACTACATTAACCAGTTTTTTTGAGACATGCCAAAACGATGATTTCGCAAAAAGATTGCTATATTCTGAAATGCCAAAATATTATACCTGGAATCAATCCTCAAGGAGATTTATACGACGGAAACAAGGAAAACCAGTTCCAGGATATACAGATGTATATTCCACCGATGCGATTGGTCGGATTTATTCAGTACATCCAAGCAATGATGAATGTTTTTATTTACGACTGCTATTAGTCAATGTACGTGGCCCAACATCATTCCAACAGTTACGAACTGTTGATGGTGAATTGTGTGGATCCTACAGAGAAGCCTGTCAACGTTTGCAATTGCTTGAAAATGACGCTCATTGGGATCAAACTCTCAATGATGCTGTAATATCATCACACGCTCATCAAATACGAACATTGTTTTCTATAATCATATCTACATGCTTCCCATCAAACCCAATTGATTTGTGGATCAAGTACAAAGATTATATGTGTGATGATATTTTGTATCAAATACGGAATAGAATGGGAAATCCAAATATACAAATCAGTGAAGAAATTTACAATGAAGCATTGATTTCGATTGAGGACATGTGCTTGATAATGTCAAACAAACTATTGATTCAATTAGGCCTGACCGCGCCCAATCGTCCAATGCTTTTAACCAAGAGTTGCATCGAGAAAAACTGTATGATCTCAACGCTTTGAAAGAATTAATTCAAACAAATCTTCCACTGTTAAATGAAGAACAGAAGTATGTATTTGAAACTCTTATGAAAGTAACAAATGATGAAACTGGAGGGATTTACTTCTTAGATGCACCTGGTGGTACAGGAAAAACTTTTTTGATTTCATTAATATTAGCAACAATTCGCTCACAAAATAAAATTGCACTTGCACTCGCTTCGTCGGGAATCGCAGCAACTTTGCTTGAAGGTGGTCGAACAGCCCATTCAGCACTAAAATTGCCATTAAATATGCAAAGCAATGAAACTCCAACCTGCAACGTTTCGAAGAACTCTGCAATGGCAAAGGTTTTGCAGCAATGTAAATTGATTGTTTGGGATGAATGCACGATGGCACATAAAAAATCTTTGGAGGCTTTAGACAGAACCTAAAAAGATCTACGGAGCAATAATAACCGATTTGGTGGTGCAATGATTTTATTAGCAGGAGATTTTCGTCAAACATTGCCAGTGATTCCACGATCAACGCCAGCTGATGAACTCAATGCATGTCTAAAGTCCTCCAATTTGTGGAAACATGTAAAAGTACTTCATTTAAGCAAGAATATGCGTGTCGAGTTGCAAAATGACCAATCTGGAAACATATTCTCTAAACAACTCATTGACATTGGTAATGGCAAATTTCCTATAGACATGTTGACTGGCTGTATTAACTTTCCTCAAAGTTTTTGTCAGTTAACTCGATCAAAAGATGAACTTATTCAGAAGGTGTTTCCAGATGTTTCTCAAAATTACAAAAACCATGATTGGTTGAGCGAACGAGCTATACTGGCTGCAAAAAACATAGATGTAAATGAATTAAATTTCAAAATTCAAGAACAAATTACAGGCGAATTGAGGATATATAAATCAGTTGATTCGGCTACTAATCAAGATGATGTAGTCAACTATCCACCGGAATTTTTAAACTCGCTGGATTTGCCAGGATTGCCACCTCACAATCTTCAATTAAAGGTTGGATCGGTGGTTATAATGTTGCGAAATATCAACCAACCGCGTCTTTGCAACGGTACACGGTTAGCGATAAAAAAATTACTAAACAATGTGATAGAAGCAACTATACTCAAAGGAAAGTATAAAGGAGAAGATGTTCTCATACCGCGCATCCCAATGATTCCGACTGATGTGCCATTTGAGTTTAAACGACTACAGTTTCCAGTGCGGCTTGCTTTTGCTATGACTATAAACAAGTCCCAGGGGCAATCATTATGTGTTTGTGGTATTAATCTAGAAAACCCATGTTTCTCACATGGTCAATTGTATGTTGCCTGTTCCCGTGTTGGAAAACCATCAGATTTGTTTATCTATGCGCCAGGTAATCAAACAAAAAACATCGTATACCACAAAGCACTACAATGATAACAATAATAATTATGATTCACATGATTAACAATAAAGCGATTACTTACTTTTAAATCCTTATATATGTTTTATTTAATTATTTTTTATTCACAACGCCCTATCACCAGGGTGACGGTTCTGTTCAGGAGAATTTTTTAAAGTACGTAGGCACAAGAACTGCCACATTACAAATCTTTTTGACAGGACGAAGTCTGTCGGGTCAGCTAGTTATTATTAAAATTTATTAAGACTTATCTTTTCTTTTTTAGTCGTATTTCCTCTTTTTGCATCTCAATAGCAATAACTTCGTAGTGGTATTAGATAAAATGATGTATTACACCATTTTGGAAACTGTATGAACTGCGCATTTTTTTTAAATAGCTGGCCACTTACGTTTTCAAACACTTTCAAACTATGCCAAAATTATTTTGTTATCAAATTTCATGTCAAAAACTCAAGTTCTTATTTTGATTTAGAAAAAAATATCATAGATACTTATATTATTTAATGTTTTTCTAGTAGTATAGTCTATCAGGAATAAAATGACACCAAAAACGCCACAAATATCATTAAGGCTCCCTCACACAGGCGCGTTATTATAGGTCGATAAAAACGCCTGCTGTATTGCGATAATGCGTCCCGATTCCTTGCACACAGCTGCGTTTTTATCGTCCGATTGATCGAAAACTTGATTTTATTGGTTTAGTTGGATTTAATTCTTGAAAGTGTGATTTTTCTCTTTGGTTTTGCAACAAACATTACTTATTCTTGACATTAAGATGAGGTTCTATCAATAATCTATGGATACTTCGCCTGAAGTCGCCGCCCAAGCTGTGGCACTTATCCGGGCCGGACACAGCCAAAGAAATGTGAGTGATCAACTTAATTTAAGTCGATCTGCGGTCCGAAACGTTTATCGGAGATACCTAGAGACTGGCGGCTTTGTTCGTCGTCGGTCACAACTGAAAGGCAGGATCGATTCATCGTGACGACCAGCTTGAGAAATCGTCACCTTACTTCCATTGAGATACAAAACCAACTTCGCGACTTCCATGGAGTAAATGTGAGCGCTCGAACTGTTCGGAGAAGATTAGAAGGGTTGCTTATGGCGGTGGCTCATGGACTGTCTGGGGCGGTATATCCGCGAGCGGCAAAACTCAACTTGAGGTTGTTACGGGACCACGGCTGCCAACAATAAATGCTGAAAGGTGAGTGATTCGTGATTCGTGAAGTGATTCTTGAGTGCTTAGAACGTCACGTGATGCCATACGCGGACTATGTGGGCCCAAATTTCCTTTTTATGCATGATAATGCAAGAGCCCATACGGCCGGCATCGTCAGAGAATATCTTCGGGATGTGAACATCGCAGTTATGGACTGGCCAGCCAGCCAGAAGCCCAGATATGAACCCCATTGAGCACATGTGGGACGAGCTAAAAAGACGTGTTAGGGCTCGTCAGCCAGTTGCCCAGACGATGCAGGAATTGAAAACAGCCATAGAAGAGGAATGGGAGATGATCCCTTAAAATTTCATAGAGCGGTTGATAAACTCTATGCCTAATCGTATGAGAGCTGTCGTAGATGCCCATGGAGGCAACATGCGTTATTAAACCTTTATTTGATAAAACACGTTTTTTTATTCAAAAATCAACCCGACTTCATCAAGGCGCATACTCGACTTGTTAGGCGTATCTCCATACCACACGTATTCTAAATTCAAATTTAAAACAATACGATCGAAAAGATGGTAAAATGTATCAGGTTCAAAACAGCATAAAAACTTTTTACTCGACCTAATATAAATTTTTAGGTAGGACCAAAAGAAACTGAAAATGCAAGGTGGGCCAATAGATGTGTCCAGAAGTGTATATTTCTTTTGAACGCTCTGAAGTTTACACGGCTCGATGGATTTTAGCTTGAGAGGTGTCGTAAGATTCTAAATTGTGAGTGACACTGGATATATCAAAATTAAGTGGACTTTTTTCTTATATTTTTAGAAGTCCTAGTCATATTAAATTTTATTACAGCGGACCTACAAGTGGCAGCGGGAAGCCGGGTGACTTGCTGTGTGCTGGTACGCTAGATACGGACACTGTTCCGAACTCACCAAGCTCTCTAGGTAGCGATCCAGGTCGTTTGAAAACTTTTATGAACATGGTCCTAATGACCAAAACTCCTGAAAAAAGGAGATATTCTTACGACATAAATTCAGATGACGATTGAACCGGCCTCTGAATATAATATTTCGTCAATATACCTACATGAAATAAAATATAACTTTGATCAATTTTGTTTCTTTACTATCGGGTCTTTCGATGGTAAATGTAATTTCAGCTTCTTCATTCAAGGCTATTCTTGGTCTCCCACATGAATGTAAATTTGAAGAGTAAAATTTAAATACAAGCTTTTTTAATATTTTAATTATTAAGTTTTATTTCAGGTACGGAAGATAGAAGTGGGGGCAGAGGTAGAAATTTCTGTGGCGCCTTCCACAAGTAAACTGCATACTTTATTGTTTTCTTTATTTATTTAATCAATTCCAATCGCAAGTTCCATAAATAGCCGAATAATAACATATTAAAGAACAGGATACTATAGTAACACGGTTGTTTCTTCCAGGGGTCAACGACAAAAATTGTGAACAGACAGTTGACGAATGGATGAATGATGACTTAAGTGACTGTGACATCGAAATAGACGATGAGTCTATTGAGACCGATCTTCCAATTTTAACCTCTCGCAATGCTTCAACTGAGCTGGCTATTCCCACTGACTTGACGCCTTAGGAGCTGTTCACATTGGATGAGACGCGATTTTTAGTCTAATACGACTCAAAAAACCATCCGACGGGCCAGCGCCCGTTGTAAGGCTAAAAATCGCGTCGAATTGTGCTCGCATAGGTGCCTGCTTGTTGGTGTTCACACTAGTCGTGCATCTAATCGACTCGAGCGCGTTGTTACATCTCTCCCCGCCCCGCTGCCTAGATCGCTACACATTGCTTGCTCACTCCATTCGTGTTTTATTCGTCACTTACAGTTGATACCCCGACTCTGAAATTGTAGTGCAGGTCTTTGAAGGAACATCCTGACGCACAATATCTGAAAATAATGTTGCAATATAATTTCAGGTAAATTAGTATTGGCCAAGTGGACGAGCTTACGGAATGTCTGGGACCCGAACAAACAAAAATGATGAAAAAAAAATCAGGATCAGGGGCAAATGGATTTTTTGCGTAAAGTTGCTAGACCTAATCCTCCTCAAGAGTCTGTTGCGTCGCGTATATCTCAACCAGGGACAGAAGGCAGTACTCAGTTGTCTGAGAATTCGCAACCAAGCACTTCTAAAAGACAAAAGACCATGCCACCAGAGCAACATATAATGGACTTAGATCTCAAAATGAGCGAGTTTTTAGACAGCATGCTATCACAACAAACTGATCCCCCAATTTTATCATTTTTTAAAGGTATCCTACCCTCTGTTACGTCTTTCGACGATGACGAAACGTTGGAGCTTCAATCAGGTGTATTATCACTGATACAACAAATCAAAAAGAAACGTGAAATCAGACTTTATGCACATAATTATAATTACGAGCGTGATAGCACACGGCGTATTCGACACAGAACTATAATTATTTATCTACCGATGAATCCGGATATTCCTCTCAAAACCAGGCTGTTCTTACCCCACATGGGTCTGGACATGCAAGTAATGTCTGATGAATTATTTTCCAATATTTTTAATGAATAAAAATTTAAATAATTGTTATTTATTTTTCGAACCTCAATGTTACTGCTAGTCTTTCTACTGCTTGGATACTTCTTCTCATGATTGTGTCATCACGTTTAATTTTAGACCTTAGTATATTATTCATTTCATCAAACGAAGACACTGACATCCTAAAATAGTTGAAAAATTTTTCTTCATCACTTCTAAGTTCCATAAACAAATGATGGAATTGTCCATGTTGTTCTCTTAATTCCAAAATTGGATGAACTCAAAATTTTCTCTTTTGACGTCGCCGCCGTCGTCTCCGCTTGAGCAGAAGCAGCAAAAGCAGTGCTTCCTCGTCAGAATCCATGACTAGACTGCGGTAGAAATTCAACTGCTCGAGCGGTTGGTAGAGACAGCTCGAGCAGTCAACGCCGACCGCTCGAGCGGTCCGTGTACCAGCCGTTAACTGCTCGAGCAGTCCGTGTACGCCCGCTCTAACATTTCACGAAACGTCATATAGCGAGCGTCTTGTTATGCGTTTGATGCGCCATTCCGTTGCTATCCTGCGTACGCGAGTTTTGTAATCCCGAGTTTTGATATTTTTTAACGACTTTTACTTGTTTTTGGACTCCGATTTCTGCACAATTATCGACCTTCGCTTGTTTTTTGGATTCTGATATCTACACAATTTATCGACCTTGGCTTGTTTGTTGGATTTAAGTCTGCAATACGTGTTGGACTTGTTAAAATGGCGTCGTCAGACGAATCTGCCGCCGCTCCTATTGAAAACGAAGGTAAACGAATTAGCTTTTCTCTGCAAAAATGTCTTTAATGTAAGATACTTATTTATACACACCTCTACTAAAAGGTTTTTCTGCGGAAATTACTCGTTTTCGAGATATTTTATTTTAATCTTTCAAATTTTCAATACATTTTATTGATATTTTATACTTACAGTCTATCAATGTATCTATGTTTCGCGGGAGCTTTCATCATTTTTGGTTCATTAATCATGTCTTTATTTTTAGCGGGGCCATCCACTTCTCACTCTGTGGAGTCAGGCTCCAATTTTGAAATAGATGACCTCTATGTGTGCCGGCATTTATATGTGGGCGAAATATTGCCTACGTTCAATTTACCTCGGCTTGTCAGGCAACTGGGAACCCAGGAGCAGTGTTTGGCTTTTGCTGAAGAGCATGGGCTCATTTTAGCTAACAAAATGTGCCGTGTACACCGCCAGCTCATGCGCCTGGATTTGACGGCTAACCACACAGTTGGGGCCTTTGTATGTAGCAGAGGGAGCTGTAGAGCCAAGTCCCGTACATCAAGGGCCACAGGAACATGGTTCGAGAAGTCAGGGTTGCCATTGTCACGAATATTTTATTTGATGTACTGTTTCGCACATCGCAAGTCCCACGAAGAGGCCATATACGAGCATCCTCTTCGTGACGAAACAAATAAATGCTTGTCCAGGGCCACCATCTCAGACTGGTACAGTTATTGCCGGGAAGTAATTGTAATTTATTATTTAGAAACTCAAGAAATAAAAGGAAAAATAGGTGGCCCTGGAAAAATAGCACAAATTGATGAAAGCAAATTCGGCCGGCGCAAATATAACAAAGGTAATAAATAAGTCATAATTAATTATAATTTTTTAATCAAATTATAATTTTTTAAATAATTAATTACTTATTTCTATTTTTAGGAAGACGAGTTGAAGGGCACTGGGTCCTAGGTATAATTGAAGATGGGAGCGAGGACTTGCGCTTGGAGGTGTGCCCGGACAACGTGCGGTCTGCAGAGGTCCTGGTGCCCCTGATAAAAAAGCACGTGGAAGTGGGCACCACAATCCACACAGATTGCTGGCGTGCTTATGATAGTCTGGCAGAGCACGGGTATCACCATAAAAAGGTTAACCATAGTGATTCGGATAATCCATTCGTTGCAGCAGATGGGACTAACACTCAGCGTATTGAGTCCCAATGGCGTGTAGTGAAAAGATTTTTATAAAGGCAATTATAATCATCCACAAAACTTTAGCGATGTGATTGTGGAGTATTTGTGGCGAAGAGAGGTAATGAAAAGTAAAAAAGATTCGTTTATGCAATTAATTGAGGCAATAATAATATACATTTTCAAACGAAGAGTACTCAGATATGTTGTTGGTGTATGGAAAAGCTGACTGTGTTGCACGAGCAGCTCAAAGAATGTACCAAGAGCGCTATCCTAACAGGCGTGTACCTGGTCGAAACACATTCCAAAATACGTATCGACGCTTACGCGAAACCGGTCGTTTAATTACTTAAAATGTCATGTGGAACAATGTGTAATGGTTGCAGCTCCTTACAAACGTTGTGTAAAAAAAAACAAAAAACATGGCAATTAAAAAGAGTGCCGGAGAGTTTATTGCCAGTTCTTCTCTTCCGTTCTACGCCCTTGATTTGAGAACTGGCAGTAAATGTAAAATTAGAAGCATGAATATTTATTTCTTTAATGACGAATCACAAGTGTACATTGTGTTACCTACGTGAATAAATGATTTTTGAATTTGAATTGAATTTGAATTTGGACAATGTTACAAGGGGCATTGTGGTGCGCCATAATGTTGAAGTCGACGAGAGGATTCTGGCGCTTTTTGAAGAAGACCTAACTAGAAGTATCAGAGACGTAGCTTCATTGCTAGAAATATCGACATGGAAAGTGTGGAATGTACTTCGTCAAAACAATAAATATGCCTTTCACTACACTCCTGTACAAGGTACATATTTTTTCTCAACCCTATTCGCTCATAACAATGGTTTTATTTACAATGGAATACACTTATCTTCTTAATGCCTTTGTGAAGCAGGGTACAGCTGTCTGCCATCCGATTGTGCACACGAGCCTACGTAATTCCATTTTGTCTAAGTCTTTATTATAAATAAAGACTTAGACACAAACGCCGTACGAGGGAGCTGCACCATTTACTACGCCGGCACTAAGGTGAGGAAAGTGCTGCGCCTATCCCGGCCTCCCACCAGCGGGTCTCACCGGGGGATGCGCATGCGCGGACCGAGCTAAGGTGTCCAGGCTGTGCCTGGCAGACTCTCAGCTCCCGGCATGGAGCGAAAATCCCGGCGCGACGTGTCTGGCCCGCGCGCCAAAGAACGCTCCCGCTCGCGCGGTGGAGCCGCGCCGCCGCCGCCGTCGTCGTCTAAAGATACATCCGCGTCGTGTATGGCAGACCGGCCCAGGAGTGGCTCTCGCTCGCGTAGCGATCGAGCCCCGGGACCGGGAGCCGAAGACAGTGGTTTTAAAAACATTTCTAGTGAACAGCTCTCGTCGCGGTATACGGCTGACGTATACCCCGTCGCAGCGGCCCCCCACAACCCCTCCCGCGCGGAGGAAATAATAATAAGTGGCCAACGTAAATCATTATGTACGACTTCTGACCCCATGGTCACGCGTGAAACAACATTGAACATTGGTGAAAGTGAAAGTTTAAGTGCCTACGGAGGCGATTTAAGGCCGCAGCTCTCGACGCAGACATGGAAAAGGCCTTCGACCGTGTCTGGCACGACGGCCTCGTACTGAAGCTCGCCGAATCTCCACTGCCCCGCCGCATAGTCGCCGTGCTCCGCGCCTTTCTCACTGATCGCACGTTTTTCGTAGCGACGGGAGAGGCTGCGTCGAGACCGCGACCTATCACGGCGGGTGTACCACAAGGCAGCGTGCTGTCTCCCATCTTGTATGCCACGTATACTGACGACGTCCCGTGCCCAGAAGGATGCACCTTGGCCCTCTACGCTGACGATACGGCGTACGTGGCCACATCTCTGCACACGAAGCACGCTGCGGTTAAACTCCAACGCGCTCTGGACCTCCTGCCAGAGTGGCTAGAAAAGTGGAGACTAGCCGCCAACCCAACCAAGACACAGGCGATTGCGTTTGGCCAAAGTATGTTGCCGCCGCCCCTGCGATTTATGGATCAGGACGTGCCGTGGAAGACGCCGGTCACATATTTAGGGGTCACCATAGACCGGCGACTCACAATGCGGCGCCACGTCAACAGGGCAGTAGGGAGAGCCAAGGGTGCGATGAACGCGCTCTACCCCCTACTCTACGGCAACATACCTCTCCGGACCAAGCTCGCGCTGTACAAGTTATATGTGCGCCCACACCTAACGTACGCGGCACCGGCGTGGTACTCCTACACAAAGGAGTCCAACCGCCAGAGACTGCGCGCCGTACAAAACATCAATCTGCGACGCGCAGTGGGGGCCCCCCCGCTACGTTAGGAACGCCACCATAGCGCGAGACTTGAGGATGGAGTCCATCGACGAGTTCGTCGCACGGCTCACCAAGGGGATGTTCGATCGAGCGGACGCCTCTCAACATCCCCACCTCAAGGACATTGCGCCGTGGCACTCCAGGCCACCTGACAAGTACAAGTATCCGCGTGAGCTATTCTCCGCGGATACCCAAACCACAGGACAAGACACCAGGGCAGCAACCGCGGCTACGACCGCTGGTCGCCTCGCTGGGCCTCCCCCCGGGGCCACCGGGGGTCTCACCCGGCGGAGCTTGACCGCGAGCCGCGTAGCTGCCCGATACCAACTATTAAGACACCAGGGCCAAGTCGAGAATACTCCTTGGCCCCTAACCACCGGACTTGACACCCCGGATTAGACCCCATCGGCTGCGCGCAGCGAGTTGAGGCAAACGCCTCCTTGCGCGCTGCAGCCCCCACCAAGAGATATAATCTCGACCCCGTACCGCCCTGTATTAGCAGGGCGCGAGACAACACTCCACCCGAAGGGGGGCATAGCCCCGAACGGGCTTAAACACACCCCTCTAGAGGGAGTGTGCAGTAATATCTACGGCTTTGTGAAGCAGGTATCAGTACAGGAATTTTTATTGGTTACAGGTCTTGAAAACAATGACTTTGACAACCGAGTCCGGTTTTGTCGATTTTTGCTGCATACCGACGTGGATGATCCTGACTTTTTAAAAAGTATTTTGTGGACGGATGAATCCAAATTCACAAAAGAAGGCATATTGAATTTACATAATTTACACCATTGGTCGTCAAAAGATCAGAACCCAAAAGTAAAACGACAAAGGTCCTTTCAGAGAAGATTTAGTGTCAATGTGTGGGCAGGAGTGATTGGCAATAATGTTATTGGGCCACATTATTTGCCGGATAATGTTAACGGAGATAATGATCTGTTTTTTTTACAAAATGAGTTGCCTGAATTGATGGCTGAGTTGCCCATTTTTATTGAAAACAGGCGGATAGTATTCCAACACGATGGCTGCCCAGCACACTGGAGAGTAACCGTGCGAGAACATTTGGATAATGTATTCCCAAATTCGTGGATTGGAAGAGATGGTCCTATCGCATGGCCACCACGTTCACCAGACCTAACTCCACTGGATTTTTACATCTGGGGACGAGCCAAGGCAATTGTGTATGCGACGGAGGTTGAGACAAGGGAGGAGTTAATCCAGAGAATAGAAGATTCTTTTGTCACTATCCGGCAAGAAATGAATCTTCATACGACAACCGTCGAAGTCAGAGATAGGTGTCGCGCGTGCATTCGCAATAGGGGACAACAATTTGAGCAAGATTTGTAATAGGGAAAAAATAATAAAAATGATTAAAATAACATTTTCTATGTTTTTTAATTTCCTCCCACGCAATACCCTAAACATAAGTTTTAAAATTAATGGAGATAGTAAAAGTTTTTATTTATTTATTGCATACTGTTAGAATTGCGATAGTCCAGAGTAGTTTTTAAAATGATTCGAAGAACATCAGCGCTTTTAGTTTTTTTTTAATTAACGTTCAAAATTGAACTTACTTTAAAAAAAATATTTTTTTAACACTTTGCGAGTTAATAAAAAAAACTACATACTGCTGGCAAGTAATTTTTTATTTTTTGGATTGGTACACTACTGTAGATTAAGAAAAAATTAACATTATGTGTAAGTTTACTGTATAATTTATTTTTTATTTAACTTTGAAAGTCAAATTTTGGATAATTTAAAGAAAACATTAAAAAATTCGACATTAATTATTCCGTTGGCCCAAGAACTCTTTGTGAGGCCTGGGATAATAGATAAAGACACCCCCCAATCCACCATTTTGATTTGGCAAACGATGCACCAAACACCCTGTATATACAAACCTTAACCTCTAGTTTTATTTATGTATCTTCATAATATTACCAAATTTCATTCTTATTCCTTAGAATACACTAGTTAGTGAGATTGTCCAAGATCAAAAGTTGTAGTTGATCATACCCAAAACCGAATCAGAGCACCCCACTATCCACGTGGTCTTGTCTGCCCTACCCCTAGAAAGTGTATATAAAAAATCGGAGGCGCGGAGGAAGAGGGCTGCATTTCCCGTAGCGCCGGAGCTGTCCAAAATTGTATTATTATTATTGTTCGGTTAGGTTAGATTAGTATATTTTTTTTTACGCTGGGGCGGAGGGAGTTGTTTTCCCGCAGCGCCGGAGATGTCACAGAGCCAGACCCCCTCCCACAAACCATTGTAAATAACTAAATAGCGCTATTCTAACCTCAAAACTTTAACCATGAATATCTCCATAACCATGGGGTTCCGCATGTTGGGGATGGTACAGGGGGGTAGCAGTAGACCCTATGGATTATTTAAATGATAGAAACGCCTGGGATTGAGCTGCTCGCTTATACAGCTATCGCTTGTGTTTTTTTTAGGCTGTCTTTCACTTTTTTTTTTGCCTGTTGTACATATTTACAATCTGACATGTCTTGTGCTTTTGCATTTGCATTTTATTTTATTCTATTGACATGTTTGTGCTTAGTGCATATTCATTTTTTACATTTTTTTTTTCTCTACATTACTGACATGTTTTGTGCTTTTGCATACAATATTTTACACTTTGACATGCCAAGTGAATAATGCTTATATTATTACTATTATATTTTTCAATTTCATTATTTTTTCCTTGCTTTAAGGTGTATTTCGTATGCATTGTAAGTGTAAACATTATGCAGGTATATCATAAACTCTTTTGCTTGATTTATAATTTGATACAATTTAGTCTATAGTTATTTTTGGGCTGGCGATCTGAGTGAGTTGTTGCCCCAAATATTTTTATGGTGCCACTGGCAGTATTGTTGTGTACCGGGTTGTGCAGCTCCCTCAAAAATGGTTGAGCTGCATGAGCTATTCGGGGCATGCTTGCCGTCTGCTGGCACAGGCTAGCTCAGATCGATCTGGTTCTTTATTCCAAAGACCAGTCCAGTAAATACTCTGCATTTGTTTACACCAATTTATTAACTTATTTTTGTATTATAAAAGAGACTAAGACCCCCGAGTTTGTTTCGACATTTCTTCTCAGGGTAGTCAGTTAGGCAATGTCGACTTCATCTAGCTTAGGAAGACATTGTAAAAGTGATTTATATATTCCTACTTGCAAGAATAAACTATTTCATTTCATTTCCCCCCTTTCCCCCCACCCCAAAAACCCCATAAATCCTTCGGCTGGATTCTAAATTTTTCCCCTGATTCAGTGAATCAAAATTCCGCGGATTCAATATACGGCACAAGAATACGCCAACATGCACTTCATCTATGGTGAGTGCAGGAGCAACGCAAGTGCTGCTGCAGCCCTTTATAGAAAAAGATATCCTAATGCGCGTCATCCAGATTACCGTGTATTCGTGAGAGTCCACAGATGTTATTCGGAAGGCAGAATACCTGGCAGTGGCATTGGTGGTACAAGCTCCGGAAGACTAGCGAATATTAATACTCAAGACATTGTGCTTGACGAAATTGAGCAAGACCCGTCGACCTCTGTAAGAACAATATCACGGCGTACTGGAATCCCGAAAACGATCGTGCACCGTGTATTGAAAATAAATAAATATCATCCTTACCACATTAGACGCGTCCAAGCTCTGCAACCGAGAGATTACAATGCAAGATTGTTTTTTTGTCGACAAATGCTTGCAAAAATAGAAGATCCACAATTCTTTGGAAAAATTCTATGGAGCGACGAATCAACTTTAAAAAAAGACGGATACTTTAATATGCATAATCTGCACAGCTGGCAACTCTCGAATCCAAATTTAATGCGAGAAGAGAGGTCGCAATACCAGTTCAAAGTAAATTATTGGACTGGTATATTAAACGGGATAATTATTGGTCCTTTCGAACTGCCGGGAAATTTATCTTCAAATAGTTACTTAAATTTTTTGCAAAATGATCTCCCGAATTTAATGGAAGAAGTGCCTGAGGAGGTAAGGGAATCCCATTGGCTACAAAATGATGGCTGCCCTGCACATCATGGCACAAACGTCCGTGCTTATTTAAATGCCACGTATCCAAATAAATGGATTGGTCGTTTGGGTCCCATTTTGTGGCCTCCTCGATCCCCGGATTTAAACCCACTGGACTTTTTTTACTGGGGATGTCTAAAGGAACAAGTGTACTCAAAAAAAAATTTAAATTTGGAGGAATTACGCAGCCGTGTTCAAGAGAGCGTTTCAAATATAAATGAACGACGCTACGCACGTTATCTTAAAAGAGCCTTTATAAGAAGATGTAGAGCGTGTATTAGAGTCAGTGGCAGACAATTTGAACACCTGTTGTGAATAAAGCTCGATTTATGTACACCCGATTTTTTTATTATTATTAAAATTTATTAAGACTTATCTTTTCTTTATTAGTCGTATTTACACTTTTTGCATCTCAATAGCAATAACTTCGTAGTGGTATTAGATAAAATGATGTATTATACCATTTTGTAAATGGTATGTACTGGGATTTTTTTTAAATAGCTGGCCACTTACGTTTTACTTTGGCATTTTGTCCCGATTTGCGAAGCTACCTTTGTCAAACGTAAAAGTAGAAAGAATATTTTCCGTTATTAATAGAATTAAAAATCAAGATCGAAATCGATTTAATAATAAGAATTTTGCTTCAATAATGCATGGAAAAGAGGGGCTACGACAGTTGTAAGGAGGATGTAGCAGTATGATCAAGTTAATGTACTTAAAACTGCTTTATGACAATGTTACCCAACATAAAGACGAAGAATCTTAACATTAAGTTTCATTTTATTTTATCGTTGAATCAAGAAAACATTCATTTAATTTCAGTATGTGCCGTCGGAAATATCTGCGAACCTCGCTGGAATGCGCTTCCCCTGGCGCTTCCCCGCACCCCGCCCCGTTTTCGCCTATCCAGTACCGTTGCCAACGCAATCGCCGACGCACGTGTATTATTCTTGCTTTCGTAATCGCATTTTAGTGTTTATTGTTTCTCTGTTTGGTGAAATATTACATAAACTACCTATTTAGTGCTGTATGTAAGATGGGTAGGACTATACATAGTGCAGAGCGGAATTTAGTGCTCAAAGTAATCCAATTCTTTGAAAATGAAAAAAAACACGGCTCTTTCACTGTGCCGGTTGAACAAGCAACAAAAAGGGCTTGTGCTGCAACTGGTTTATCTAAAACGACAATAATGACAATAAAACGTGAAGCAAAAAAAAATACAAACAGAAACAGCGCGAGCAGCGAATGTTCAGGAAGACATGACGTCCTTCGAAGATGGTGAGCATCCACAACCTAGTACTTCAGCTTCAGTTGCCACGGACACTATCAAGCTCTCGACACCAGGGAAAAAGCGTAAAAAATACAAAAAGAAAATAGATCTAGATAATTTTGATTTATGCGCGATACGCTCTTTGGTTGAAAGTTTTTATACCACAAGAAAAGAAATACCTACTTTAAAAAAGATTCTTACAATAGCAAAACGGGAGCTCAACTTTCCCGGCCAAAAAGACGCCCTAAGAAACATACTAATAAATGATTTGGGGTACAGCTTTAAAAAATGTAAACGAAAACGCGATTTTTTGGTGCAAAGACCTGAAATAGCAGCCTGCAGAGCAAAATATTTAAGGCGACTGAAAGAAAATGACGAACGTGGTGCCGAAAAAAACCAGTTACATTTATCGACGAAACCTGGATACATTCACACTATACTGTCTCAAAATGTTGGCAAAATAGTAGTGATTCCAGTGTCCGAATAAATCACTCTCCTGGTCAGCGCTGGATTGTGGTACACGCAGGTAATGAGAACGGTTTCATACAAGGAGCCGAGCTCCTATATAAGTGTAAATCAACAACCGGTGATTACCATGACGAAATGGATGCGTCCAATTTTACCAAATGGATTAAAGAGAAATTGATACCGAACCTTCCACCCAACGGAATAATTGTCATGGACAACGCGCCCTATAACAGTAAGCAGGCAAATAAGCCGCCAAATTTCAGTGCACGTAAAAACGAAATGCAAACATGGCTGCAAGAACACAACATCGAATTTGATGACAAAATGACTAAAAGAGAACTGTATATGTTGATTCAAAGAAATAAACCTGAGAAGGTATATTTCATCGATGAAATATTTAGAGCTCATGGACATGAGGTATTACGTCTGCCACCCTACCACTGTGATCTCAACCCTATTGAGTATGTTTGGAATTTGATGAAACAAAGGGTGGCAGACAAAAATATTGACCAATCAGAAAAAGATATAGAAAGGTTAACAAAGGCAGCGATCCAAAGTATAACCCCGGAAGATTGGAAAAAAGAATGCAACCATGTTGATCGCTTAAGAGATAAGTTTTGGCATAATGACAGATTATATGAACATGAAGAACGCGAATTAATAATTTCATTAGGAGGAGAAGACAGTGACAGCGAAACCGAAGACAACATTTTGAGTGATAATATAGAAGATGACGAAAACGACAGCGCTACCATGTCTGGTGTCGAGGCTTTTCTAGAATAGTTTCGCCACTTTCTCTTCCTCTCTACTTTTTCTTTGTATTATTTGTAAATTTGTAAATAATTTGAATTTTAAATAATGTAAATAATAAGTATTTGTAAATTTCAAGTAGGTACGAGTATCAATAAAAATAAGTACACAAATAAAATATTTTTTATTTTTACATCTTCAATTTTTTTGCTATCTCTCCAGTTTGTATGACGTCATTAAGCCAGGTTCGCAGATATTTCCGACGACTTGTAAATTCATTAGAATTCAGTAGTTTTTAACCTCCTCAAGCAGTAGATAGGTCAAATAAAATCTGGTCACACTGTTGGATAGTGGCACTCGTGGAGTTTTAGTAACCATGAGTCACTTAAAAGCGTCGCCCTTTTTGACTTCTGTGTTCACACGTTTTACGAGAACGGTCGTTCATACATCTCTACAAGGCGAATGTATTGTTCTGAATATGGATTAACACACATTAATGAAGCTCCGAGTGCAAATTTAATTAAAATATGGATCTTAAAGCGTTTTGAAGAGACCGGTTCCACGTTTAAACCACCAGCAAAAGGTCGTCCAAGAACGTCTAGGACCACAAACAACATTGAGAGGGTGAAGGTGTCAGTAGGAAAAAATCCGCGAAAAAGTGTCTAATAGAGGAAGCAATTGGCGGCTTTAAACTTGTCGCGACGAAGTTTAGAGCGAATTTTGAAGTTGGATCTGAAACTGCATCCTTAAAAGCTCCAGTTAATACAGGAATTAAAAGAGGCCGACTTCGGAGCAATGTTGGCATTTTCTGAAGAAATGCTTAAACGATTTTCCACTTTTGACAACATCCTTTTTTCTGACGAGGCTCATTTTCATTGAAATGGGTTCGTAAACCGACAAAATAACCGAAAAAACTGAGAATGCAAAAATGAAACATCAAAAACCACTGCATAGTCCGAAAGTAACGGTATGGGCAGCAATGGAATTATTGGCCATTTCTTCTTTGAAGATTCACGAGGACGAAACATCACCGTTAACGCCGACCGCTATGTTGCGATGTTAGGCGATATTTGACTCCAGAACATGCGAGATTGAGAATAGCGAATACGAGGACTTGGTTCCAACAAGACGAAGCTACCTGTCACACATCAAATGACTCTGTGGCGGTTGTGAGACAGATGTTTCCTGCAAGACTAATTTCCAAAAGAGGTGATATCCCTTGGGTTGGGGTTGATATCCGTAGGGGACTTAGCCCTGACTTGACGCCTCCTGACATTTTTTTGTGGGGATATCTGAAACATAAAGTCTACATCAATAATCCGGGGAACATCAGTCGGCTAAAGGAATATATCCGTGGGGAAATGGCAGCTATCACCCCAGATTTATTGACACAAATCTGCGTTTGCGTTTAGAGGAGTGCCGTCTTCGAGAGGGCCGTCATTTAGATTATGTTATTTTTAAAAAATAAACTATATTTAATTACCTAATCATACTACATTTTCTTTTAACCCTTTGTATTAATTTTTTTAGCCTATACTTAATAAATGCAATTTCTATTGCGCCACCCGATATAAGACCCTTTTTCTCTATTTTTGGTTTAAATATTGGTGAGGAATTCAGAAACAGGAAGGGGTATTTCTTTATCCAAGCTGTTTGTGATGCAGACCTTGAATTATTTAATGTAGTTGCTCGGTGACCAAGTTCTGCCAATGACTTTTTTATAATAATTCAATATTAAGAGATACCTAAGGTTGGTTACTTGGGGATAGCACCTATCCAAATGGCCGGCTTAGAGTGGATGCGTAAGTATAGAGAAAGAAACACCAAACTCAGTCTGCGGAAACCGTAATAGACAAGCGTAGCTAGATCGTTCGCCTTCAATGAGACTACAGAAAAATAAGAATCATCTACGGTCTACTTCTGTCATCTTACGACATCTTACTTGACCACCTTGAACGAATCCCTGTAAATTTAGGACAATGGGAAAATTCCCAGCACTGGAGACATAGATGAAAGCAGGCGTAGGTACTCTCCAGTATCAAAACTACATACATACATACAGAACAACAACACATTTCAACATGTGTTTTATAACCATTAAATACAGCATATATTCCGGAAAGGGTTTGTTTTTGCCTCTCCAGATTAACGAGGCCCCTATTTATACCGTTGGATTTAAACTGAAACACGAATATCACTACTGTGAGAGTAGTACATGATGCGCCTGGTGAGAAGTCATACGGAGCATAATTGCGCGATTTGAGCTACCTATGAAATTAAGTTGATGTTGGAGTGAGTACAAAACAATTTATTTAATTATGTAATTTTTAAATTTAAATTTATCCCTATTATTTCTTGTTTTTTTTTTGTTAATTGGTTATGCATATTTGTCGATTTAGGGTCACCAGTTAGGACAGGATTGTGTGTGTGTTGACAGGAACAGGATTGGAAAATTGGAATTTACACAAAGTTATTCTCTTCTTAGTTTCAGGAGACTAAAACATTTTTTCAGACTGTTTTAAGGTAGGTAGGCATGTAGTTTTATGACGTTTTTGTGTTGAAAACCTGTTTCTCCTCAAAACTACCCTTTGGTAATGCAACATTATAGTGACCTTTCTTAGGAGACTCTGCAAGCAGCAAAAAGACCTTCACATGTTTCTGTGAGATAAGAGCCAAAACGAGATGGTGCTAAAGGGTCTCTCAATAGGGACTTCCGAACTTTTACAGTTGAAAGCGGCCATCTTGTTGAAGCTACATCTGTCAAATTGGCTGTCATTTATTCAGTCTGTTTTGCCATATCACCATGGATGGATATAGCGTTCAACACGTGCAAATGATAAAATTGTTTTATCAAAATGGGTGTTCTGTTCGGGCAACGTTCCGCGCGCTTCGCCCATTTTACGGGCGCCATAATCGTCCTACCGAGAGGACTATTCGCAGTGTGGTGGATAAATTTGAGTCCACTGGTTCAGTAAACGATCAACCAACCTACTTTAACAAATTGAAGTTAAAGTCATGCAGGTTAAAATTAAAGTTTTATGACGGGTCTACCATTGAACCAGTAGGATATTTAGAAATCAGTGTAAAATATGGCAATGTATGTAAAGTTTTGGACCTTTATGTTATCGACAACGGCTGTACCAATTTATTAGGACGACAATGGCTCTCAGAACTGAATACAGATATTCCTAAATTTAAAATCTATGATGTAAATAATGTGCAAGCAAGCCAATCGAATGACCAAATCAATAATATACTTTCCAGATATAAGCAGGTGTTTGACGGGACCCTGGGCAGGTACACTGGTGGTACGGTGGCGCTGCGTGAGGACGCAGAGCCTATATTCTGCAGAGCGAGGCCATTGCCTTTGTCTATGCGAGCGCGTGTGGTTGCAGAACTAGATGCCATGCTTCAGGCCGGCGTCGTGGAACCGGTGGGCCACTCCGACTGGGCTGCGCTGGTCATTGCTCCCAAAGCAGACGGGAAAATTCATATTTGTGCCGACTACAAGGTATCACTCAATCGAGCCCTAATGATTGATAGGTATCCGATTCCGAGGATTGATGAATTGTTTCAGGCGACCTCAGTGGAAATAAATACTTCACAAAAATTAATTTATCGCAGGCTTACAATCAACTTGAACTAGATTCAGAATCAAAAGCGTACACTGTAATCAATACACATAAGAGGTTTTGGACTATACAGCCAAAATTGATGGAGTTGAGGTTTCAGTAAAGGCTGTCGTCGAGAAGGTAAAGGCTGAGCAAATAGGGATAAATTTCTTAGTATGCACACCTATAGTTGAAATCATCACACTATTCAGGTCATTCTTTGACGAAGTTAGGACTGGTGTAACTCGCTTCAGGGTCCGCGAGTCTGTGGCTAAAAGGGGTATGAAGAGAAACAAAGATGGCAAATCTGTCCCCACTTCACAGAGGCAGGAAAACACTCAAAACATTTCACAATACGGTCTTACCAATCAGCATATTGCCCTTCTCCAAGGGATTACCCTAGCACCTGAAAGAAGGACTGGAATTCTACGCAGTTTGGGCCCATTGACACAAGCAATACTTTTGTTAATGGAGGATAAATATTATGATAAACTAAGAAATGTGCTACTTCTTCTGTAAATAGGAAGAGAGGTAGGTAGATACTGAGGTAGCTTACATAGAAAATATACTTATTGTTTTTTGTTAAGGTAGGTATCATCTGTTTTCTCATTATGTATTTCCATCATTGAGTTATTAAATTACTATTGTTATTAAGACAGCAACCCACCTACTTGAGAATTTACCTAGGTATTCGATATATATCTTAAAAATCTTTAGAACACAGAGTTTATTAACTAATTAATTAGCTATGTAAGAGAGCTTAGCATTTAAGGGAGAAGGTGTTAGATATATTGTAGACTTAGTTGGCAACACTGAGCAGCTGTCTTTCAATAATCGTTTTGAGAAGTAGACCATCTTTAATTTATCAGTCTCCAGATTAGCTTTTGCAACTAAGCATTTTCATTATTTACTAATTTAAGTATAATTTACAAAATCTGTTGTTCTCAACAGGTCCTGATTATGACTGAGTTTATAATCCCTCATCTAACACACACCCATCAGTGGTCAACACAAGACAATAATAATAGTTATATTCGGTGAAAGGACACTGTCATTGTGGGTATTAAAACTAACTATGTCGCAGCCAAATGAAGACCAAAACGCTCAGACAGCCCAAACAACTTGCCCCTATCATTCATAAACAACTGAGACTTAAAGGAACATATTCACGAGGAAATGCAAAACATTTATCAACACTTGTGAGTTCAGCATTGTTACAATAATCAAGGATCATTTACTGTATGTCATCCTGAATGTTTATAATGTAAAGAGACTTTTAGTCTAATAAACAAATATATATTTCAAACACAATATAAAAACAGCACTGGTGTGGGTAAACAAGGAAAGTCAGCCTTCAGTGTATGGAACTGTATTAAATGAAAAACCACAGACTTTCCTAAAGACCAAAAGGAAATTATCATAGGCGGGTGAAGAATGTTTAACATAACCGTACACCTGCAAGTTTAACAAACAACGGCATGAAGCTGTGTAACAAGACAAAACATTGAGAGAATTTTGAATAAGTAATGGACTACTAATGCATTACGCTATGTCCGAATTAATAAGCGTGAAATCGCGAGGTACAGTTAGATTTTGTTCCTCAAACAACTTACAGGACAAATTTGTAAACAGAGTAAAAAAAGGAACACGTGGAGACATCATCGAAGACTGAAATTTCTCACGAAATTGTCCAAAATAATAGGCAAGGTGACATCTGAGACGCCAAATTTCAAGTTAAAGTTACATTATCTTAATTCTTTGAGGATCCATACCGCTTTACTAACTTTGCATCAGCATTCAGCTGTTTTCGTTTTCGCCTTTAGTGATTTCATTAATTTTCCTTTGACGTGTTCACACCAATGAAATTATTTTTATTTTAACGTTAAGGTTAAGGCATAAAAATACATTCTAAATTACTTCAAGAATTTAAAGTGCAATAAGCAAATCCCAGATATCTTATTTACTTTATAGATTAACAAATGTTTAATAATGATTTCGACAACCGTGAATCGACACCGTTTGATAAAAATAAATAAATAAAATGGCGAATGCCTTAGCCCGTACTCCGTAGGTATAAACATAGAGTAATGAGTATAGACAAAAAACATAACAATATACATTACCCACATCTATACAGATTATCGAAAAATATTAAGTAGGAAATAAGGCCGCCAATCTCGTCTTTAGTTTTAAGTACTTTTAAGCATTTCACATTTGATGTAATGTCTTATTAAAATTCAATATCTGATTTAATTATACAATGGATAATATTATATTCTTATTTTTAAATCGTTTTTTTGAAGTGATACTTCTTTCGAATCGTTGTGATTTCAAACCGGATGCAACGGATAAAACGACAGGTAAGAGACACAAATACAAAAATGTGTAGGTCTTTCTAGTCATCCTATCGAAGAAATAAATTTATTATTTGTTTTAATTTTCGACACTTTTAATATTTTTATATAATCTCATTCGGTAATATTGTCATTATGAAATGAAATACAGACTTTTATAGGCATATTTTAGATACATTCTTCTTTAAGAAAATTAAATTAAAGCATTATTCTCCTAACAAAACAATACTTTAAAACAATTTTTTAATTATTAAAGTACAATGTGTCCCGACCAAGGAGGTTTCTATTCAATTTAAGTACACATTATCTGTGGCGAGCGCTGGTTCCGAGCCAATAGACAAATAACAGACTTTTTCCATTTTGGTGCTATATCGTATATAGAGGTGCGTACCGTTTCACAATTTGACGATTTCACTTCGATAGATTATAATTTACCGAATAATAATACGTTAAATTGTAAGCAGTACGTTGAGTTCACAATCTTTCGACAGTTTACAATCTCGCGAGATAGATCACAATCTAACGGTGTTTACAATTTTACGTTGACATATACATACGAATTTGAGTAATATTTTGTTGGATAAAACTTTAGTAGCAAAAATGTCAAGCAACACCGACGATACTGATGAAAATTTTACTCCACCTGACCACAGAACACAATTACCTAAATTATTTATTTTATTTTCGATATATCTGTCAAATTTGCAGAACTTTTGGAACGTTTTCCTTCAGTTTAATAAAGAAAAACATTAATTTTTAATAACAAAAAATGTTCCGTACACTTAGGTTGGTTGCAAATTTTAAATTTCAACGTCAAAAAAACGTCCTCAAAAATGAGCGCAACATTCTAAATTGTGCGCTCATTTCAAATAGTCTCGCGTCTACAAGTGGAGTCGATGTTATTTATTTGTGTTTTTTTTTATAAATAAATTTATGTACTCTTGAACTTTTTTGTGTGTAGTTTTTGACAAATATATTTACGCTATATAAAGTGTGGGTCAGGAGGTAGCCAATTTAACATTTTTTTTTAATTTAAAGAAAAAACTTTTTAACCGGATTAAAGTTATGTATTATTATAAATTTACAACTATTTAACATCCAACACCTTTTGTCTTCAGTCACCGTGACCACTCACGCTGTAAAGCACCCGAAAAGTCGGATAAATTTAAAATTATGTTAAATAGTTGTAAATAAAAAAGTCATGTTCGACTCCACTCAATACCTTGTCCTACCGACCACGGTCGGTCGTAAAATTTTATTGCTTTAAGTACGTATACACTGCGTTGTAATAACAACTTTAAGCAATTCGCGTAAGGTTGATTTTGCAATAATATATGCTTGTAACATATACTGTTATGGACAGAAATAGTGTTTCGGGACACTTTCGAGCGTTACTTTTATATGAGACTGTGCATCTTGGGTTTTTTGTATATCAATGACGTGATATGAAATATTATATCGAAAACTTCCCCAAGTTTGCAGAACTTTTGGAATTTTTTTCACGACCAAAACTTATTTTTAACAATGTACCGGACCGCAGAGAAGGTTGCAAAATTTTATAGTTTGTTTTAATACCACTCCCGACCTTACATCAAAATTTGAAAACTTTTGGAATTATTATGAATTAATTGTCTTGACTGACTGGTCTAAAAGGGAAGAAAGCCAAGACATTTTCAGTTGAACACTTAAATAAATTTTTGAAGTTATACTTCTTTTAGCACGATGGAGAAAAATGATGAAAGTGAATTTTTAATCAAATATAAAATACTAGTATTTCATAAATTTGCTTTACCAAATTTTAATTTAAAAAATAGAATTTCTATAAGGTAATTCTCCCCCCTTCTCATTCTTTCTCAATCGGTCTCAATGGCTCTCTCCCTTTTCTTCGACAAAAACGCTGCACATCTTCGTGACGTTCCTATTTTTATTATTGCTTTTCATCCGTAAAAATGTTACCCTTATGCGCCCAAAGAAGTTTCACTTCAAACATTTAAAAGAGAGTGAAACATGTACGATTTTACAATTTACATTGCTGCATATTATACAGGAGACGAAACCTAATGAAAACACAAAATGTTTAGAAACAGTTTATATTACTTAAGTTTTTATGCAGTGTAAAGTAAACAAGTATAATAATCTAGAACCATTTAAAAACAATAAAAATAATTGTACAAAAATTTCGTACAATTCTTTTGATTTTGGGACACTAAATTATATCAGCATCGTCCTCATTACTATAACTGGAATCGTCGGGCTGCTTCGGGTCCGTATGTTGAATTATTGACAGCTGCGGACAGCAAACTTCGTCTTTCGAGCACACACTGTAACAAAGAAAAAAAACTCATATTGTATGCAATTCACACGTGGTAGAAGTGAAACAAAGTTTTTATAATTAATAATATTATGTAAGACTTTTTTCACTATCTTAATGTCAGTTTTGAAAATAAAGCACCAAACCGCCACCGCGGTGGGCGCGGGTGCAAACCGCTTCGTGCTCGTTCAAACACGGCGGGAACCACGCGGTTTGAAAATCACACGGGAACCACGCGGGTCTTATTTACATAGGTGTTTATATAATCGTCCACACATAATCTCTCTGCATCTTCTACCGCATTTACCATGGAGAGTGTTCAGAGGAGTTGTTCGGTCTAATACCTGCAGCTGAGTTTCATCATCGGACGTCAAGGCAAAATACAAAATACCATCCGTATCACCTCGACGTCCGTCGTTCCACAACAGAGCGTTTTCTAAGGCAGTTTTTGCCGCGCACCACCACTATGTGGAACCAGCTGCCCACAGAAGTATTTCCGAACCAATTCGACTTAGGGTCCTTCAAGAAAAGAGCGTACCAATTCCTGAAAGGCCGGCAACGCACTTGCGAGCCTTCTGGCATTGTGAGTGTCCATGGGCGGCGGTATCAATTAACATCAGGTGAGCCTCCTGCCCGTTTGCCTCCTATTACATAAAAAAAAAAATAATAATAATAATAATCGCGCGGTTAGTCCAACCGCGCGGTTACCGACACTCAACCGCTAGAAAATAGAATCGAGCGGCACCCGCGCGTTTCTATTACTATGAAGATCTTACTCAGCGTTCATTAGTGTTGCGGGCACCGCGGCCGCGCGATTAACACGTCATAACAAGAGCACGCGTGAGCTCGCTATC